GGACTGGCGGGGCGTGGTGGCTCATGCCTGTAATCCCAGCACTTTGGGAGGCCGAGGCGGGCAGATCACCTGAGGTCAGGAGTTTGAGACCAGCCTCACCAACATGGCGAAACCCCGTCTCTACTAAAAATACAAAAATTAGCCGGGCATGGTGGCACCTGCCTGTAATCCCAGCTACTTGGGAGACTGAGGCAGGAGAATTGCTTGAACCGGGAGGTAGAAGTTGCAGTGAGCTGGGATTGTGCTGCTGCACTACAGCCTGGGAGACAGAGCAAGGCTCCATTGAAAAAAAAAAAAAAGAAAAGAAAAAAAAATTTTTAGAAAAAGAATGGACTGGCCAGGTGCAGTGGCTCACGCTTGTAATACCAGCACTTTGGAAGGCCAGGGCGGGCAGATCACCTGAGGTCAGGAGTTCAAGACCAGCGTGCGCAACATGGTGAACCCTCATCTCTACTAATGATACAAAAATTAGCCGGACATGGTGGCACATGCCTGTAATCCCAGCTACTCAAGAAGTTGAGGCAGGAGAATTGCTTGAACCCAGGAGGTGGAGGTTGCAGTGAGCCGAGGTCGTACCATTGTACTCCAGCCTGGGTGACAAGTGAAACTCCGTCTCCAAAAAAAAAAAAAAAAAAGAATGGACCGATGCAGCAAGAATGGTTGAAGTTAGGGAACTTCAGGTCAGTGAGACACTATGTCAGGTAACAGAGTCAGGTAACAGAGGAGGCTGAGGTATCCCATGAGCTCTAGGGAAGTTAGGACTCCCTCCCAGACCATTTCATTCACTTATCAAATATTTGTTATACGCCGGGCATTTTTCTAGGTGCTGGGTTAAAGTAGTGAATCAATCAGATAAAAATCCTTGCCTTCCTGGAGCTTACATTCTAGAAGAGGAACTTAGACAAAAATTAAGTAATTATAAAATATGCAATATGACCATAAATATTATGGGAAAAGTAAAACAAGGGAGAGAGGTATAAGTTCCAATGACTGATTTCAAATTAAAATAGGATAGTCAGGTATGCCTCACTGGGAGGTGACAGCTGGGCAAAGGTATGTCTGGGGTGGGTTGTGCCTGGAAAGATTGGAGAGGTCATTTTATTAGGGTCCTTCTAACCTCAGTACAATTACCAAATCTCTCTCCTTTGTTTCCTTGCACCTCCATTGCTTTTCCTTCTGGAGTTGATCACAAGCCCAAGGAATGCCTAGGACTCCTGGAATGTATGTATGCCAACCTCCAGCTTCAGACCCAGCTCGCCCAACGACAGATGGCTATTTTGGAACATTTACAGGCATCCGTGACACAACTGGCTCCTGGGAGGGGAAGCAATAACTCTTCTCTCCCACCCTTATCTCCTAATCCATTGTTAAATCACCTGCCCCAATTCAGTAAATGAATTGTGGAACAAAGTTATTGTGTTTTTTTTCCTCTGTCTTCCCAGTAAACCCTTGTTGGAATCTGGGTATATGTATTCTACATATGGTTAATTTGTTCACAGGTTCATAATAAGTGCTCATTGAGTTCAAAGCATTGTTCAAAGGAGTTTGGGGGAATTACTGTCTAACGAGGCAGACAATTCATTGCAAAATGTAGTGGTATTCTGAAAGGGGTGGAGGTTAAGAAGTAACTTTGGAGGTTACTAGGATACAACTGGACCAATTTTAGAATCTTGCTGGAGAATGTGGCTTTATGATGCCACTTGAAGAAGGGAGGGATTGGGTGGCATGGACAGATGAAGTCAGGTAGGTCCATATCAGTTGGGAAGCTTGGACAAAAACCTAGAGGTAGATGTATTAGTCAATTCTTGCATTGCTATAAATAAATACCTAAAGTTGGATGATTTGTAGAGAAAATATGTTCATTTTGGCTCATGGTTTGGTTCTGTAGGCTGTGTGTGCCACATCTGCTTCTGATGAGAGCCTCAGGGAGCTTTGCATCAGGCGAAGATGAACAGCATGTCACATAGCAAGAGAGGGAGCAAGAGAGTAAGTGAGAAAGAGAAGTACCACACACTTTTAACCAAGCAGATCTTATGTGAACTTAGAGTAAGAACTCACTCATCACCAAGGGGATGGTGCTAAGACATTCATGAGGGATCCATCCCTATGATCCAAACACCTCCCACCAGGCCCCACCTCTAACACTGGAGATTACGTTTCAATATGAGATTTGGTGGGGACAAATATCCAAACCATATCAGTAGGAGAATAAGTCATCGTAAATAAGGGGAAGAGTTTTTTCCCCCAGAATATAGAGTGTGAAGTAGAATGTAAAGGAGCTGAGGCAAGTCAGCTTTTCCGGCAGAATTATTCTGATGGCAGCTTTTAGAAGGTCTGGAGAGTGGCTGGGTGCAGTGGCTTACACTTGTATTCCCAGCACTTTGGGAGGCTGAGGCAGGCAGATCACTTGAGGTCAGGAGTTACAGACAAGCCTGGCCAACATGGTGAAACCCTGTCTCTACTAAAAAATACAAAAATTATCCAAGCGTAGTGGCACGCGTTTGTAATCCCAGCTACTCTGGGGGCTAAGGACTAAGGCAGGAAAATCGCTTGAACCCAGGAGGTGGAGGCTGCAGTGAACTGAGATTGTGCCACTGCACTCCAGCCTGGGCAACAGAGTGAGACTCCCTGTCAAAAAATACAAAAATTATCCAAGCGTAGTGGCACGCGTTTGTAATCCAAGCTACTCTGGGGGCTAAGGACTAAGGCAGGAAAATCGCTTGAACCC